ATTCTACAAGAGAGAGAAAGGCCTTGTCCCTAAATACATATATGAACCCGAAGACCAGTGGTTTACCGAAATTAATCATTTGGTTTTACAAATTCTCTAAACCACAGATGCCAGTGTAAAAAGGCTGCAATGTTTCAGCTCTATTACAAATATGCAGCAAAAATATCCTAAGAAAAGGGCCTCAGTCAATGACTTATTTGTTTTAGGCCCTATTAATGCAATACAACAGAATATTAATAACAGGATCTGACCCTACCACGTAATTATTCCAGGGATAACTTCTTAGAAAAGCTAACCTTCATTTGTAATTGTGATGCCCTCTTGTGAAATCTAAGCAGATGAATGAGGTTAAATCAGGACACTACTGAGAGAAGGAATCTAAAACTGAATGTATCTGCCACCAGTGGTACTAGGCACTTGAGATCGACACAGATCAAATGCTTCCTCTGTAAGCAGAACTAAGCAGTCCTAAAAATGTCTTAACGTGGTACAAGGCAGTATTTCTTTTCAGGAAGTGCTAACTTTCTACTGAGAAATAGATGCTGTCTTAACTTCAGAACACCCTTCAAAATCACCCGACCAAAAAGGCACCAATGTAAGGTATCTGGCCTGACACCAAGTTGCGTACTTACACTCTGCTTCTTAAAATTCAGTGTTGCAAGAATCCGAACACTCTGTCCTAAACTGTGGCTCAGTGATCTTAAAACATGTTGTGAACCTAGTGTGGGCCATTTTTCAGCACTGGATGAAACGATTCTGCCCTTATCTGTCTTCAAGATGTCTTGGGAGATATCTTAATGTGAGCAGGGTCCTTAGACCCCTCCTAAGAAGCATGACCACAAAGCAATCTCTTGTAACACACGGGTCTGGGCAGAGAACAAGACCATTGTGTGTGACCTGATTTCATTTCAGTGAATGTCCCGGTAAAGAATGACATCATCCCATTCTTTTTCTTGATCTCCACTTGTGACTGTCCCCCCCCCCCCCCCCGCGCTCATCATAATTAAACTGCTTCCCCCCTCCCATTCCCTATTTCTCATCCCCACGGGCATTGCTATTTTCTCCTGAACTTCCTGCCTGAATGTTTCATTAGGGCAAGAGCAAAGGCTTTTCCTCTGGTCCGTCAACACTGCTGGAGTTTGCTTCTTGGCTACATGAGACAAAGCATTATTCTAAGGGCAGCCAGAGCAGACTGAGAGGGTCATTTGCTGGGACGGGTCTCAGTCAGCTGGGAATGGAGAGCGGCCAGTTGAAGACGGCCCGCCTGACGGGCACAATGTTTCTCATCCCACTGGAGTTGGATTTTCTTTAAACACGAACGCATTGGCTTGGAGGATGTATTGTCTAAACAGATGCGTTTCACCATGTACATACCACGTGTGCACATCTGTATACTTGTATGAACCAACACTTGCTTTATCACTTAGATTCATACTGCAAGACTCACATGTGAGAGTATTTCATTTCAGACGGACGGAAAGAGGATGTAGAAGACCCTAGTTTAAAAACCGGCATGAGAATGCAACCAAGTCGAATTGCTGTGCGAAGGAAGGCACTGACTGTGGTGTTTTGAGTATTTGCTCTTATAAGGAAAAAGCAAAATCAACTTATATCCCACATCCGTGTAATGGAAGATGATACACGAAGTTAAACTATGAACGATGAAGACAATGCAGAACCTGGAAACCGTTTTGATAGAAAGGTAGGTGAAAAAAAATCCAAATAAAATTGTCTGTTCTCCAAGGTCCCAAATATGTAAACTATTAGGTAGTACCATATAAAATTACTGCCTTTTAGGTCAAAAAGAGTCAAATAGGAGTAATTTTCTAAGATTCCACCTAGCAAATTTTCATATAGAAAAGATTTATGGGCTTGGGTTAAGGGTGTGTGTTTTTTTAACTTTAAAAGAAGTTCCTATTAGGTAGCGATTATATTGTTTTTACAACAAATACATGATTTTAACAGACATTGGGATTCTGTGTAATAAATTGCCTTCTTTGATGAGAAATGTTAAGAGTGGTCACAAGAGTGCTTCTTAGCACGCCCCAATTCAGCTCTTTATACACTGCACCAAGTTTTCCATGTCCTTGGATACCAAGACGAGGATAATGCTAGTGGTTTTTAGGGTTCACATCTGAAATTGATTCTTTGAAAAGATGTTGCTTACTATTACAGTCTATGGACAATTTTTTAAAAATATTTAAATTCAAATTAAGGTATTGAGTATAACTTAAATAATTTAAGTAATATAAATAAATAAAGTCCCAGGGAGGCACAGTTAAGGCATGCTTATAACATTTTCCATCTCCAAAAAGCATCAGCAGGGCTAGGAAAGGTCTTAATTGCCTTACAAACAACATAGTCACTGTTCTAAGTTATCCCATCTGTGTGCACCAAACCTTGTCTGACGGTGCGGATTTTGAGTCCCGAAGGTACAATAGCGGCCATTCAGATTTTGGCAGGTGTATCTCAAGCTGAAAACCAAGCTCCACAAAACATAACGGTCTGTTCCACAGGTGTGGACATTTTTGACAAGAGCTCTCAAAATCTCCCCCAAGCTGTGAAGTTTAATTGTCCTTTTGGTGTCATTATACGTGAATACAACCTATCTCTCCTTGGAACAAGAGAGAATCTTCCGGCAATCGAACAGCCAGGAGACGCTTGGGCAGCTTCTGAGATTTGCGTATAACATCTCCTGGTTCTGTTCCTTGCGTTATGTATTTTGGAGGTGATGCCAAGATCACTGAACTGCAGGTAAGCAGTTCTTAAAGCTGGAAAAATATTAAGTGAAAGGACTTTATACCCCAATGACACGAGCAGAGAGGCAATCAAAAATGCACAGGGCACCATTTTGAAACCCTAAGACTCATTAAAATGGTCCTATTTTCTAAACCTGCCTGTCTGAGCACACACAGAAAGGACCCATTTCTTTCTACAAAATTTGCCAGCTGGGAGGACTGTGGCTATGTGAATACAGGTGTAGTGGTGGGAAGGGGCTCAGCCAGCTATCTAGTCCAGCTCAAATGATGGATGAGGAAGGGCAGAGATCTCTGAAACTGGCAGCTGGTCAGACATTGAATTTGAATTTTCCAGTCCAAAGACAAAAAAAGCAGACCGGAGGCAGCTCTAACAGGGGTTCCGCAGATTTTTTTTTTTTTTTTTTTTGCGGTACGCGGGCTTCTCACAGTTGTGGCCTCTCCCGTTGTGGAGCACAGGCTCCGGACGCACAGGCCCAGTGGCCATGGCTCACGGGCCCAGCCGCTCCGCAGCATGTGGGATCTTCCCGGACCGGGGCACGAACCCATGTCCCCTGCATCGGCAGGCGGACTCTCAACCACTGCACCACCAGGGAAGCCCGGTTCCACAGATTTTTAGGAAATAAATGTCATGTATGTTAAATTTGAGCAAGTGATTCTGATTTCATCCAGTATTACAGTAAATGCATTTCTATTTTCTCGTAATAAGGATAGGCTGAGAATTGAAAGGATATAATATTGATACTTAAAGTGGTGAAATGACTCATTAGAGGGAGAAAAGTGTGACATGAAAGATTAGTAACCAGATAATAAACAACATGGCATCCCAGAAAAGTGGTCTCTTCAAAGCACAAGAGAAACTAAGACAGATGCTTTGAGAAATCAAAGCATCGGGAGAGGTCTTCAGTGACCTCTTGGGAAGATATGGGGTTTCCAGCCTCTTCTATAGTTAATTTTGAATGACATGATACCCAAGGACAACCTGTTTCTTTCTTACAGAAAACTTGATGCACTGGACTAAAGGTTCACAAGGAAAAGGTTTGGCAAATGGACTCAAGACGGTGAAGCAGTCTTAAGAAGTCACAGTTCTACTGTTGATTGAACTTCTTCCTAAGCAGATATCTTTTTCAGTTTGTTTTGGAATATTTTCCTCTCCCGTTTGGAGTTTCGAAGTAAGGAGACCTAAACTTCAACTTGTCTTCTCTTACTGTTGATTTAGCTCTGGAATAACCAGCATCCAATACCTTGCTGGTGAGATCCCAGACCACCTGCCAACAAAGCTCTGAGAATTAGAGAAAATCTGCCAGTGTTCATGATTTTATGTCAAGGAATGAACCCCAAGCTCCCAGCCATTTCCAGCCGTTTCCCTTCTTCACTTGCCATTTGTAGTATGAGGACAAAATGTTTAATCCCATAAGTATTAGAAAGAGAAGCTGGAGAAATCAAGCCTCAAATGACAAACCTGAAATTCAGGTCAGACTTGAAGATTTTGTTTTGTTTTGTTCTGTCTGTGTGAGGTTCACGAGCTTTCTGGTGATTAAAGGACTTATTCCAAGTCAGCCTGGGCTAACACAAGACTTACAATGAAAATCAAGCAAAGGGCAACGATTCTGAAGGGCTGCAGAAACCAAGAGGAACTCAACAGTTTCCACGGTGCTAGTTTTCAATGAGGGTGGAAACAACTTTCAAAGTTGACATCTGAGCAAAGACTCATGGTGTGGGGTATAAATTCATATGAACCAACACCCCTAGGGATGTTTTTGCAGCCAAGGTTGTGTTGCTGAGATGGGTCTCCGTGGCCTGCCCTGCGTCCCACGACACTCTTGGCACCAGTGTATGTGGCCAAGGCAAGAAACTGTGAGGTCAAGCTGTGAACAAGACAGGTGACATCTGTAGTTTTCATGCCTGAAACTTTGGATGACTGTGCATAGCTGGCCTACCATTAACGACCCCTCTAATTCCCCTGAGCTTCCTGAGTATCTCATGACATGTTAATAAAGTTACATGATTCTTCAGATGCTTCTTTTGCCATTCCTGGAGACGAATTTCAAGAAATGGCTCTGCCTTTCAGCTCTTTCCGCCAAGAAGGAGGAGAACGCTTACAGGAAGGGGCAGGACCATTGACTCCTGCGTTTCTGATAATTCCCCACCTGTGACACATTCCCCTCTTCAAGGGACATGGAGTACCCGGGTTTAATGAGTGCCTTGGTTTAATTAATCGAGACCAATATTTGATATGAGTACCTTTGAAGATTTTCTGCAATTATTCTGTCTTGGAGAACCTGCATGTCATTTGCCAAATTCACCTTCCTCAGATGATGGTGGCTGGCCGTCAGCACCTATGATGGAAGAAAGCAAAAATGCCATCAGTTGCATTTCATCAGTGATTTACCTTTCAGATGTTGCCCTTTCACACCTTCAAAGGAGGACATCATTAGGAATAGCATTCTTCAAATTTCTTCCAGACTGAGTTTCTCTTTTTTTTTTAAGTTTGTTCTTTAAAAAAAATTTTTTTTATGTGGACCATTTTTAAAGTCTTTACTGAATTTGTTACAATATTGCTTCTGTTTTATGTTTTGGTTTTTTGGCCGTGAAGCATGTGGGATCTTAGCTCCCTGACCAGGGATTGAACCTGCACCCCCTGCACTGGAAGGCGAAGTCTTAACCCCTGCACTGCCAGGGAAGTCCCCAGACTGAAGGTGATTCTTAAAATCACTCCAAGAGACTTTGAAGTACTGTGGGTCATTCAATCCTTTTATAGAAGTTTCCATTTGACTTTCTTTTCATCAAGGGAGAGACTTTCCATTAGATTCATTTCATATTATTCTCTAACTGGATTTTGTAAAGCCAATAAAGAAGTCTTTCTTTTTAAAGGTTTACAAAATGTTCCAAGTTTAAAAGTTGAATGACGTCTAATTTCAGGTTCTAAGACCTATTTTAAAGGAAAACATGCAGAATCATGAACTCTTCTAAAGTGACTGCAAGCTACTATTTGATGAGTAGCAAAGTAAGCATTTTCAAGCGGTTAAATTTGTTTCTATTCTGCATTTATGACAGTTGAAATATGTAAGTGACTAAAATCAACTTCGATACTTTGAATACGAGGAAACACCCATTTTAATGCATTAAGTATTTGATGAAGCAATCTTGCTGACATGAAGAGCACATTTAACATATGCATGCTATATATAAATGCAGATATGATGTATAAATTAGAAGAGGAAAGATATATAGTAGCTATATCTTATAAGGATATACAAGCTATAAGACATAAGCTAGAAGAATAGGAAAACAACACACACTATTTCACAACCCCAAATTTCCTTTACGTTTAAAAAGTATTTCTCTTGCCTGTGTAATACTAAGACATTTCATGTGGAGCCCTCTTACCTCTTCACTAGTGAATATTCTCAGAGGTAATGGGTGTAGATTATTTCAATACAACAGACCTGGAATCTCTTCTTGTTCTGAACTGGCCCTGGTGATTCAGGTTGAATGTGGACAGTCCCAGGTCCTCTGCTCTGTTCTGGAAGCTTCACTCTTAGGGAGACTGTTGTGGTAGGACCTCCCTGCAGCTGGCCGCCTGCTGCAGGACTCTTCCTCCCATGCCACCCTTATCCTTATCACGTCTCTTTCTGTTCCCGGCAGATCAACTCTTCCGCCCATTTCCGCCACCCCCTGTCATCTGACACACCCAACCCGGTCAGCTTTTGACCACGCCCCTGTGCTTCTCATCCTGGAAGTTGGTGAGTTCTAGAAGAACTTTTCTATTCTCTGATAACATTATAAATTATTATAAGCATCACGCAGATCTCCACTTTTTATGTATGTTCCAGGAAGACATATAAATGTTTACATTTATAATTATGCACGGCACCCTGTGATCTTCCAAAGTAAAATTTTACATTTGAATGTGAGGCTACAAGTATCTGGCTGTGGTCATGCTGGATTATAGCCTATCGTCAAACAACAGCGTCCTTTCTCAGTTATTCGCAATCTCCCACTGGGAGCAGCAGGAATTCCAGGCTACAGAATCCATTGGCTATTTTGACCTTGACCGAATTACTTCATTTCTCTATGCCTCAGTATCCTCCTCTGAAAAATGAGGATTAAAAATCGTTATCTATTCCATAGGGTTGACGTGAGGATTACATGCAAACATCCACGTAAGAAATTTAGAAGAATAAGTGGCCAGGAAACACTGGCGATCATTATTACTGGCACTGAATTTTGTTTTTAAGCCAGTAATAAAGATACAACTTCCCTTGCAGTAGTAGTCTGCAATCAAAAGACATTTTCATGGAATGAGACCAGGGTTTTCATCCATTTTATAAATGGAGACTTTGCTTTGTCATCATTAAAATTATAATGTGCAGGAGAATAGTGTAATAATTTAGAGCTATAGCCTATTAAAGAAAGAACAGAGGCAGGTATTTATACCTGCTTGATAAGTGTACGCCTGTGAGAGTCAAATACTCCTGCTGTGCTGAATGAAGTTTCATTTGCCAAGAGAGAGTAAGGAGATAGGATGACTGAACCACCACGGTTTTTAGTTCCATAATCTCGACACCAGCAGACGGACTGCCTCGATCCTTTCTGCCTTTATATGTGCCAACTTGTAATAATTCACTATAAATAGGGTACGAAATGTGCAATGGAAAATTTTAATGAAAATATTTCTCTCTTTTTCTTTTACAGTTTCATTAATGAACACGGGTTAAAACAAATTTATTCTTTAGTTTCAGCAAAACAGCATCATTTGACAAATAAAACCAATATTACTAATGTTAACCAATTAACTTGATTCCAACCAACAGAATATTATTGGTTTATGGTTTTGTTTATATTTAATTAGCAATCTGTTTTGGATTTTCAATGATGTAAGTGTAATTATATTACTGTGGATTTATAGTTATATAAATGTAATGAAAGTAACTTAAGCGGGGGCTGCTTATTTCAGTAACAGTTTAGTAGATAAGGATGGAAATCAGTACCAGGGCTCAAGTCCATAGCTCAGGTTGACAAGTGCTGCTGGAGAGCACCCATCAGCCTGGCTTCCCTGGGATCCGAGCCGCGAGACCCTCTCCATGCTTTCATTTCTGCTAGAAGAGTTTACCTTTATTCCCTCCACATATGAAAATTCTAAGCACCCCTCTGGGATCAGCTGACCCCCTCAATTTTCATTTCTCTCTCTCCCCAGAACACTTACAACATTTAGAATCTGGGCTACACGATGTAGCATCTAGTGAGAGGGTCTCCACTGCTGCCTAGACGGGGGAAGGGCTCGTCTCTCTGGTCAGGTTTTCAGACTCCGAAGTGTGACAGTTGTACTTGGGGCTCTGTCTCCATTCTATGCTCTGATCACAGTGTGGCCCCAGAACACCTTGCACGGATGAGCATCGCAGTGTAGTCAGGATCTGAGTCACTCATGGACACTTGGGTTATCTGGGAGTTTATTCAAGTTTTGGTCAAGTGTATCTAATCCGAGACCCTGAACGGCTCCTGCAGCAAAAGAATAAGCGAGCGGCCCGCAGCCCTAAAGCTGGGCCACACAAACCTGAACGGAACAGGGAAGCACTTGCCCAGCTTTGGGTCATTTTGTCCTTCCTTTTTCTTAAGCCAGACCTATCATATTTTCTGCAGGCAATGACTCGGCCTAAGACTCCGATGTGTATATGTGTGTGTGTCTGGAGTGAACTCACACGAGTCTCAATGTCTCTGTTCGTAAAATAAAAGGTAAGATTGCAAGACCTCCAAAATCACTTCCTGCTCTAAAATTCTATAAAATGTTGGCACATGTGCCCATTCACTTGACATTAACATCCACAGATAAGTGTGGGTGTGCGCCAGAATTTCACCTGCTGATAATATGTCGGGAAGTTCAGTTTGATGGTTTAAGAGCTGTACTTTTGAAAGTTTGGCCTGGCTTCTCTCTCTGTATTAGTGTGTTATTGCTCTTAGCACTTAGGGATCCGTGCTGGAAAGCAAGTAGATGATTGAACTGAGCTCTCCTGGCTTTCTCAGTTGTTCAGAAACTGAGCCGCATTTCCTGGCTCTGAGACTTTGTGAACTCATCAGATTTTGCTGCAGAGAAATGTCATTAAAATAACAGTCCCCGGTGGGAAACACTAGCACCATTCATAGTGAAATGCTGAAACAGTAACTGGTATTTTAAAACTATGCATTGGAGGCCTTTCTTTATACTGTACGCACACATGCGTTTAGATAGATGTGTAGAAGAGATGTTTGTTTGTTTCTTAAGCAGCTGTCCTTTAATTGTCTCCTAAAAGTGGCTTTAGCCCTGTTGCAGAAATGCATCCTGTCTCTGCTCCCTTCACCTTGGAAAGTAACATCCGGTTCCAAACTGCCTTCCCTAAGGCGTTGCCGGAAGGTCCAAAATGTCCTCATTAGAAAGCTTACACCAAGCCACACCAATCTTGCCATTGTGGACGGTGCACGCACGTGGGGCTATTACTTCATGCACAATGACATGAGACCAGAAAACATGTGAACAGGAAGCCAAACCCGAGAGAGTTGGGGAGCTTCCAGCTTTCCAGAGAGCACAGATATGAAGCAAAATTCAGCAACATTCTGGACTCAGGTATCTGGGGGACAGAACAGCTGCACCCCAGCCCTCTTCAAACACTGCATAGGAGAGTACAGTGGCTCAGGCAGCACCCAGCCTGGACTCAGTCATTATGCCGGCAAACCCCCAAAGATTGTGAAGTTGTAGCCCTTGCTTAGGATGACAAGACTTTAAACGGCTTGAGTAACCTAAAAGTAGAATGGCCAGCACCATATATGGAAGAATAAGAAGGCCAAGAAACCCCGGCGATCACTGGCGATCAAACACTGGTAATCCTCACGTCAACAATGTATCAGTATGTTCCTCACCCTTTCAATCATGCTAATGGAAATTCCCTCCAATATATCTTACTCCTTCTTTAAAGAATAAACTTTCCCATGATACAAGCTCATCCTACTCTAAAGTATATATTTGCTGATTATTTTGTATAACTGAGATAGTAACAGTTCTTTTCTGGGTCTCTTCTTTCTTTCTTTCTTTTTTTTTTTTTTATTGTGGAAGCATTTTTAGCAAAAATAGAAACCTCTTCATCATCTCCAAAACCAAAGATAATCTCTGAAGTTTGGGGAATTTGAAGTGAGCTATCAGAAGCCGGATGGAATTCAGATTACCATCAAATACGATCTTTCTGATGAGTGATAAAACTCTTTCTATTTAGAGGTGACAAGAGCTTCTTAAATCTGCTTTTAAATGTGTTGATACAGTTTACCTACCAGGAGGAAATATTATACGACTTTGTGAGACCAGCCATGAAGCCTGGGGCTCAGCCCCTTTCGTAATAAATGGTATTTGCTCTGAAGTGTTCAGGTGGGGTTGAGAGCTCTGAAATCCAGGAAATCTGATAGAGGCTTTGCCACAGAAGATGTGAAAGGGTATAAGAAAACTAAGGTTATCAAGTAATCAGACCTCAGCTTCCTGTCTGCTAATTAGATTGTTTTCTATTCATTCTAAATGTGAAAGTTCTTCCCGTTGTTATCTTTAAAAAACTCACAAACGTGACATACCTCTCCTTTCCAGTTACCCACCATTCAAGCCCATGGGAAGAATTTCCTGCTCAGCCTAAAGAAGAAGGAAATGTTTGTGGGGTACATCATGCCCAGGTAAGAAATCATCTCCTTTGCTTTAGTCTTAGAAGTTTCCTCTTTTACTCTAGTCTCTGAGTGGGCCCCCAATTCAAGGGAAGTGAAAAAACCCTGCTAAAGAAAGAGCTGCTTCTTGATAAATAAGTATGAATTCTTCATGAGTACGTGTTCTTTATGAATAAGTATTCTACTTGCCCACGGATCTCTTTCCCAGTCTCCGCTCATTTCTCAAGGCTCAGAGGTGTACATATTTCTCTTTTTGAGGGTATACAAAGTTATTGGCAAGACTGCTCTGGACATGGCCTCCCTGATGAAAAGTGAATGGGAAACAATCCACTCAACAGCGGGGATACGAGATGAAAGCTCAGAGCCCCATGAGCCCAGAGACTGACATTTCTTGGGGGAACCGAGCATGATGGGTACAGCCCGGTTTTTATGTTTCTTCTCTAAACTTCTAAGGTAAATCTGGCAATTTTATACTTTTTAAAAACCACTTTTTACATATACGCAATATCATTTGTATCATTTTTTTAGATTCCACATATAAGCGATATCATGTGAAATCTAAAAACAACGATACAAATGAAATTATTTACAAAACAGAAACAGACTCACAGACATAGAAAACAAATTTATGGTTACCAGAGGGGAAAGGGGCGGAAGAGGGATAAATTAGGAGTTTGGGATTAACATATACACACTACTATATATAAAATAGATAACCAATAGGGACCTACTAGTGCAGGGAACTATACTCAGTATCTTGTAATAACCTATAATGGCAAAGAATCTGAAAAAGAATATATATATATATATATGAATCACTTTGCTGTACACCTGAAACTAACTCAACATGGTAAAACAAGTAAACAAACGAACAAAAGCAATACCACTTATGTAAACAAAAGATTAAATGAAAACCAACTTTTATTTTTTTTTTATTTTTTGGCTACGCCACGCGGCACGTGGGATCTTAGTTCCCCAACCAGGGATCAGAACCCACGCCCCCTGCATTGGAAGCCCAGAGTCTTAACCACGGGACTGCCAGGGAAGTCCCCCAAACTGACTTTTTATTTTACTTCATGTTGTAGTTTAACCTCTCAAGCCAACATTACCCCAATTAACTCAATTTCCTTCTACGAACTTGTACCTCTTCTTGTTTTATGGTATTTTATTATAGCTACCCAGTTGACCAAGCTTAAAACTAATATTATAGACATTATATTATTATAGACATTTCCTTTGTCTTCATTCAGTCCTCAAGTTGAGAATGTTCCACCTTCTAAATCTCTCTGGAATCTGTGCCCTGTTGTCCACCTACACTGCTCAGACCCTCAGCATTTCTCACTTGTTTACGACAGTAGTCTTTTAATCGGTCTCCTAGTTTATAGCATTATCACCCCCTAGGCCTTTGCCTAACCTACATTCCACACTGGAGAGTAGATGATCTATATAAAAAATCTTCCTAAAACATAAATCACATCTAGTCTCCGCCTTCTCAACCCCAAGCAGAGTCCTTCCTTGTCTCTCCATTGGCTCAAGAGTAATCTTGAAAGTGCCAGGTCTGGGGAGGTAAGGAGCTTGTGCTGCAACGCTTCCATCATTGAGATGGCTTTGCTACAAACAAAATAAACCAAATAAACAAAGTAGTCTATTGAACCAAATAATGTCTTAGTGATGTAGGTGACATATTTCAGCCCAAGCTTTTCATATGGATGTGAACCTATAAAACAAATTTTTTTGGAGCATGAGCTGGTCTAAAAAGACTCATGAGCATGAGTTTGAGTTTTACTAGAGTAATGGGTCCAAACACCTCAGCATGAAGCACCACAATACCCATGATTGGACCCCTGACTAAATCTGCAGATTCCCTGGATTCAACATTCCAGCACCAACCGAAACCAGTTCCCCGCCCCTGGCTCTCACATAGTCTGCTCTCCAGTGCGGTGCGTGGGCCTCTCACTGTTGTGGCCTCTCCCGTTGCGGAGCACAGGCTCCGGACGCGCAAGCTCAGCGGCCATGGCTCACGGGCCCAGCCGCTCCGCGGCATGTGGGATCTTTCCGGACCGGGGCACGAACCCGTGTCCCCTGCATCGGCAGGCGGACTCTCAACCACTGTGCCACCAGGGAAGCCCCCTGCTGATTCTTTAAAAGTCACACCAATCAACATCATCTTTGTAAAAGTTCCTTTGACTTTCACTGGGGAAAATTACTTGGGCCTCAATTCTGTCACTTAATCACAACACACTTCTGTTTTTTGCAGGTGTTATATACTCTTAAGAAAATTAATCTGTTGTTTTGGTCTGTTTCCTTGGACTAGGAACTCTTCCAGGGCAGCAGGATATTAACCTTCTTCATTTTGGTATCACTAGTGTTCAGCACAGCATGCAATACACGGTAAATGCCCAAAAATCCGAGGCACTGAATCAAAGATGAAAAAAGGGAGTAAATGGAAAAGCCCTAAAATTGAAAGAAACTGCTATTTTCAGACACTGTGCTAGGTACTTTACATATATTATTTCCTTTTAGTCCTTTCAACAATCCTCTCCTTGGGGTAAGTAGTATTGGTCTCCTTTTGTAGAGGTGAAATCTGAGGTTGAAAATCTGCAAGATCTTGCTGCTGGTCGCATAACCACGTAATGGCAAAACCAAGCCTCCGATCCAGATCCCGTCACAGTCTGCGTTCTTTCTGCCATGACTGAGTAGGCTTTGGGGGCTAACGTTGAGATTACGTGGCTTATCTTTGTAACAAAATTAGCTAGATTATAGAATTTTAGTATTGACAGCTCACTTTTAAATTTAGGGGGAAAACCAAGTAGAATCCAGTCTTATTTCCAACTTTAATTCTGCCTTAGAATTTCTTGGAAGCCACAGAGAATTTTAAGTGGAAATCTCATTTAAAGGGAATCTTAAAAATAGACCCACTTTTATAATGGTTCCCATGTTTGTTGAATACATAATGAATAAATAGCTCTATTGCATTCTGAAATTTGATATGAAATCTTTCCACTTGGTCTGTTTTGGGTATTACACCATCATGTAAGATACTGAACACTGGAGAGTTACAACAAATGTGAGTTTCGGATGATTAAATATATATATATGTATATTTAATTAAATATATACATACATTTGGGTATCCTGAACTCTTTTATACACACACACACACACACACACACTGGTATACACACATTACGTGTGGTTTTCATAGCTATTCATCTAAAGATAAAGGCAATCAAACTCAATGGATTCATCATAGCACTTAACGACAGTAAAAGTGAGAGGCCTTGCTTTTCTACATTACTGTCAATTTATATTTCTTAGTTTTCTTACCTGAAATAAAGACTAATTTTCTATATCTCACAGTACACCAACTTATAATCATGGTTTTATAAATGCAAATTGAACAACTACCCAAAATAGAACTTTATTTTCTCGGCTTATTCATTTAGTGAATCATACTTTCTAAATGTTCAGAAATTGTATCTCTCTTAGTGTTACCCTAGAGTTTTAAATTCATCTTTTGTTGAGAGACAATTTCTCAAAGCCATGAGCATCACCCCTGAGAAAAACACTCTTGTTAATTCAGCATCCCTTACAGACACATAGTTCAATAACAGAGCTTGGGGGTTTGCCAGTGCTTAAGAAGTTTGTGCCCATGTTCCTTTAATATTTAGACCCTTCAGCTATGCAGTGATAAACTTAGGAAGAATTCACATGTCCACTCTAGTTACAGTGTTTTGCAGGGTTTACACAAGCCAGTGCAAGTTTCAAGCCTATGCCAAAAAATGGGATTTATTTCATAGTGTGAAAAGAAAATTCCAGCAACTATATTTGCCTGAAACTGTGAGCACTGAAAGCAGAGAAATTGAAGCTGGAAGTAGCTGCATCGTTTCTGGATGCCTCACAAGCCAGGTGAATAACCAAGACTCCTTTGTAGGGCAAGATGTGTGTGTGAGTGGAGAACAGTCAGCCAGCACCAGGACCGGGACACGGGGAAAGGGGCAGTTTCAGCACTTCCTCTTGGTGCTATTTTGTTAATAAGTGAATTATCAACAGAAACCTCTTTCCCTTCCTATTACTTTTAGGAGGGGCCCAATCTGGGTGGAGGACTTTAGCCAGAAACACATTTCCCATCATGGCAGCGTCTGAGTGCGGGAACCCATTCTCGCGAATAAATACGATGAAATGGACAAGAGCAGTAAGGAAACTTTGTTTTCCTCCTTTGGAAAGAAAAAGCAGAGCATCATACTTACAAAAGTCGCCTTTAAAATCTTCTCTGGAGAACAAGCTCTGGGAACTGGGAGCTTGCGGAGGAGCAGAGATAAGGTGGGAGCGGGGCTTCCTTCCTCCTTCTGGGGGCGAGAGTCATTGTTCCTTATCTCCCTGACCTCCGGGCGCAAGGGGCCGGGAAGGCCCGGCCTCTGACCCCCTCTGCCCTCCCTCCTGGTCTCGGCGCCTCGGGTCGGGGTTTCCTATTAGCCGCTCCAGCCGCCCAGCCTGACACGGGCCCGGGGATGCATTAAGGCCAGTCTGTGAAGTTCTTGCGAGATGCAGAGGGTTATATAAGCCCGCGTATTATTATCATAACACACCCCCATAGAACCAAGGCTGCCAGACAAACAAAAGGCAGTTCCAAGAAGGGGAGGGGCAGAGGCAGAAGTTACACTGGGGGTGAATTTCGGGACACTGCTGAACTGGCTGGAAAAAAAGGCAACTCAATACGTGTATGCAAACCTCGGCAAACAAACTGAGCTGCAGCTGGCTGGCCGGCCACGCGGGGGGGCTCCTCGGAGGGAGGGGCAGTAGAGGGGGTAGGCAGGGCTTCCCGGCTGCGGTCCCGGCTCCCCCTTCCCCGGCACCCGGCACAGTAGCCGCCCGTGGCGGGATGGAGTGGATGAGGAAGATGTGGTATTTGGAAAGGCAGACGTTCCAGAGACCAAGTGCTTAGTAAACACGGATGTTTCCTAGACTCAGACCAGGTGCTTCTGTTGCTTTGCTTTCGTCCTGGTCTCTTGTTTTCCTAATGATGGTTTTCGGGGAGTTCCCTGGGCCGGGGCCGAACCCTCTATGTGCATCCTCTATTTTCAATCTCCGTGAGCCCCCGCTTTTTTTCTCTGTGGGAGCAAGACACCCAGCCAGACTGTTCTTTAGGCCAGAGCTTGGGTCTGAGAAGGTTCTGGTTCACTCTGAGCACCCATCCTCCCTGCGACCCTCCCTCCCCCCATCCTGCTACCTCCAGTTTTCTTATTTTCCTGCCCTGTTCCTGGCCCCGCTGCCCAACATGTGAGGAGCTTCATCCTCCTGGCATTCGTGGCTTCCACGTGTCACCCCACTAATTACCCGCTTCCCATCCTACTGCCCCTCACCTACTCCAGCTCATGAGAATATGAATCATTCTCTAAAGAAGGCCTTTCCGTTCCTTCCCCTACCGCCCTTCCTCACATCCTCTCCCTCAGCCTGGAATGTCCTCACTCCCGTTTCCTTCAAAGCACAGTTCAGATCCCATCTTCCCCACAAGATTTCCCCAATTTCCCTTCTTTTCTCCCCATTGACCCGGCACGTAATTCTTCATGTGCGTCTGGTTTCGTAAGTCTGGGGTCTCGTGTGGTTCTCCGGGGTGGCCTAGGACAGGCACTTCGTGAGTGTTGAAGAAATTCAGCTGACAGCCGACGTGGTGTCACCTGGGCCATCAGTCTTAGAGTGGGGGGGCCGCATGTAACCTCCGTGGGCTCAGGTGAAAGCCCGTGTTGATGAGCTCTTGAAGCTATGTGGTGGGCCCAGGAGGGTTTGTGATAGGCATAACTTTGGGGTATTGGAAATTTTCATAAATTAAAAAAAAAGAAAAGAAAGAAAGCTTTACAAAAAGTGGAGAGGAATGTCTAACCTTGAGTCATATTCCTTTAGGACATGTGTTCATGAGGGTACCAGGAACTGTGGCCTCTACTGAGTTCCTGCTACTGCACATCAGGAGACCTCTGAAGTGGACCTTACTTCCTAGAAGGCCAGAAGAGTTCCCGAAAGGTGAGCTTTTCAGAAACCACAGACTTCTGGGATGTGTTTTGTGAGAGAACTTCTCCACTGTGGAAAGAACAGAGACTATCACAACAGCAGCTCCACATGAGAACAATAGCTCTCTGGTGACTTACGATATGGGGTGAAGTACAGAACGCGAGCTGTCAGGTGTTGAATTTCTGTGGCTAAGCGTTCAAGCGTTCTTCGGGACGTTCCCGTTAGTCTCTGGTGAAAGCCGTGTGCTGTCGATGCCACCTGTGGTGGTTGGGTGGACTGTGATGCCCTTTAAGAGACTTGGGGTGTGTCAACATGCTCTCCCATGCACACAGAATGTTCAGTGAATTAGAAGAAGTTTCCTGCTTCCACTAATTTGGAACAATAAAAACGGATTCAGGTTCTAAGGAGGAATTTTGGCCTCCAGTTCTTGAGGTCTGGGCTTCAGGAAGGACAGCGGTCTCATTGCAATTCCGTTGTTCACATGTAAGATCTGTCTTTTTGTTCTGCTCAAGTCTGAGCCATAACCATTGTTATTGCTACCATGTGTGAGTCCCGGCTAGGTGTCAGGCACTGGCTAGATGTTTTACACGCATTCTTAACATAGCGATTGTCCTAAAATAGAGCTGTTTAAAAAAAAAAAAAAAATCTTCATTTCTCAGATGGGAAAACTGGTCATACAGCTTAGGAAGTGACAGAACTAGTATTTGAATCTAAGTCTGTCTGTGATTTTTCCATTCTGCTGAAAGCTGGAAGAAACCTGAGAATCTCATCTGCTAGTTTTCAGTCTGGGTTCCGAGGAGCAGTAGACTTCCAAGGAAGTGCTTCAGGAATTTGGGGTTGGCGGCGGCGGGGGGGGGGGGGGGGGGATAGGGAGGGAGCAAATGTGAGGAGGAGACCAAGTCACCTGGGCTTGGGTGCCATTCACTGGATTCAAACAAAGAAGCTTCATTTCCGTCTGTTTTATAGAGTGACTTTAGACTTTGTTTAAAACAAGGGCTTTGCTACTAAAAAAAAATTATTTTGAAACTCTAGAACTCGTTTAAATTCTTCATTAAAAAGGTATACAGCTTGAGGTTCAGAGAGATTAAATGCCTTACCCAAGATTTTATAACAGGCCCAGCATTAACTTCAGATGTCCAAGCTCTGCCTGGAACCCCAGGTCTCCCTGAGTCCTTTATCTCCCCAGTGGTTAAATTGCAGGGAGAGTGAGAGAAAGTCTGACCTGACTGTGTTTCCTGACAGTATTCTTCTCGAAAACTGAAGGCAGGCATACTTTTGACTTTGGCTTGATAGACCATTTTCTGTCTCTTTGGCTCGGAGTCTAAATTAGTCAACATTCACCTCGTGGCAAATGAAGATCAAATGAGGAGTAAATATGTAATCTGTCTGGATGATTTAGGGCTCTCGTCCTCTTTTCATTCAAATCAAAGCAAGTAGCAGAGGATACTTCCACGTGAATCATCTAGCTGACATAGCCTTGGCCTGAGAGTACTCCTGCTAGAAAACTGCTTATGCCCCCATGGTTATCAGTCCAATCAAAAGTGACTCTTGGGGCTTCCCTGGTGGCGCAGAGGTTGAGAGTCCGCCTGCCGATGCAGGGGACACGGGTTCGTGCCCCGGTCCGGGAGAATCCCACATGCCACGGAGCGGCTGGGCCCGTGAGCCATGGCCGCTGAGCCTGTGCGTCCGGAGCCTGTGCTCCGCAACGGGAGAGGCCACAACAGTGAGAGGCCCGCGTACCGCAAAAAAAAAAAAAAAACCAAAAAAAAAAAAAAAGTGACTCTTTTCACAGGAGACACCATAGGTGTGGCGAAGACATTACTCATAGGTGTGGCGAAGACATGACTCTTAAGGGGGTCAGTATAGCCAAGGGGAAGTGAGTCTCTTCTAAGTCCACATAGCTTGCATGTCTTGTAAAGTCTAAGATTTCACATGCTGCTTTGACATCTTTGAGCCTCACGGGGCCCCGAAGGGCTGTGAGTTCCCCTGCTTTTATCTGCAGTGCTCCCACCGAAGTGGGAAAGGCTCCCCCTGTGGCTAGGTCCCCGATAGCTGGGCATCATCACTCCACCTGGGCCTCATCCTAATAGGTTTCACTCCCCTGCCATCCTACACAGTCATTGCAACAGGCCAATCACATCGTCCCTGGGAACCAGGGTACCACTTACCATCTTGTTACTACAGAGCCTGCTCCCCAGAGCTCCTTCTTTTTTTAAAACTAATTTTTATTGGAGTAGAGTTGCTTTACAATGTTGTGTTAGTTTCTTGCTGTACAGCAAAGTGAATCAGTCATACTTATACATATCCCCTCTTTTTTGTATTTCCTTCCCATTTAGGTCACCACAGATCATTGAGTAGAGTTCCCTGTGCTATATAGTAGGTTCTCATTAGTTATCTATTTTATACATAGTAGTGTATATATGTCAGTCCCAATCTCCCAATTCAACCCACCCCCGTGCTTCGTAACCATGTTTGTTCTCTACATCTGTGACTCCATTTCTGCTTTGCAGATAAGTTCATCTCTACCATTTTTCCAGATTCCACATATAGGCGATATTACACGATATTTGTTTTTCTCTTTTAGACTTAACTTCACTCTGTATGACAATGTCTAGGTCCATCCACGTCTCTGCAAATGGCACTATTTCGTTCCTTTTTATGGCTGAGTAATATTCCATTGTATATATGTGCCACATCTTCTTTATCCATTCCTCTGTAGGGGGACATTTAAGTTGCTTCCATGTCCTGGCTATTGTAAATAGAGCCCCCCAGCTCCTTCTTGTTCCCTCTGTTCCCAAATGTGCCTCTGTGTTGCCCCATGTGGCACGAAGTGTCTGCTTCCCCTGGGTCGTTAGTGTATGTGACTAGTATAAACTGTTCTTGATCCCCTGTGTCCCAAGTCAGATGTCCTATGTTTGGTCATCCCAGAACCCTAGGGCAGGAGTCCCTCCCTCCCCCATGGGGTGAAGAGGAGGCGAACAAAACAATGACCAGACGTTAATGCTAATACGAAATGGAATTTTCAGAGAACTAGTGCCAAATATCACATCCTTTGGAGTTTTGCTAAGCATTAGGCTATTGGCAAATAGAAATGACTTTTAACTGAAATTAGCCAGAACTGACCTAATAAACTGACCTTTATTAATTTCAAGGCCCCTGAGCTTTCCCATCTGCCCTTTTTAATTTTTACCATTCTCACCTGGAGATTTTTGCAAGCAACAGCATCGTTCTCTTTCCTGAGACGGCTTAACTGTAGTCCTGCCCAAAGGCAAAGGAATCAGAGATGACCCTGCCATGCCTGTCATTTAAATCTTTACTAACAGCATTCTTTCAGAACAATGTAGCAGAAAGAATTTTTCGCATCTCTACAGACAAGAGATTATAATAAGCAGATTTTTTTTCCATCTGAAACATCCCAATATTAATGTACAATATTCTCAGCCCTAGAAACAAAGCGTTCGATGTAATTTCTTTCCCTGTTCATGAGATTTACAATAGGAAGGTCGTGTTTGTACTAGCTTTTGGCTTGAAATTAATCTTCTTTTCTCCTCAGCCTTTCTGTAGAATCCATGCACTTCATTATTTAGTCATTTCCAAGTATTAAATGCCTGTCAGTTTTGAACAATGATCTAATCTTCCCTTTATGGGTGGAGAAACTGAGTTGTGAAACTTGCAAATCATCGCCAGGACACAGATCATTCTAAAGTTTGTGGCTACCGTGGAAATGCTTTTCTTCCACACATCTTAGATTACAAAATAAAACTGTAAATTGTCTCAGAAGCAGCAAGTATGACATCCTCCAGTTATTAGAAAGTATTCATTAAAAGCTCATTTGCATTTTGCCTTACGAGAGAAGCTTTATGGAGTAAATAAATACATTCAAACTCCACCACCAACCTCAACACAGGCTGTGCTGGAATCACGTCCCCTGTCTCTGAACTGTGCCTCATACAGATCAAAATACATTCTTAGTTCAGTTGGACAAGGGTTCATTTGAACCACATCTGGTGCTCATCAAACCTCTATTTTAGGAGCGGGGAATTCTTTTTCAGAGATACATTATGTCTGGAAGGTCTATGGCAGCAAACAGTCCTCATTAAATTTCACAACATTTTACCCACATATATACAGTACTCGCTTTTATGTGATTACGGGGCCCAGGCAAAACCCTGCGCGGTCACTTCAAAGAATTCCTCACTTGACTAATTCTAAAGAGTACATTGATTTTCTCATCATTTGTTGTGTTTGACAATAGAAAGGCTGACACAGCAACACTGCTAAAATGACATCTCCTTTCTATTCAAGGGGAAGGAATTCGTGTTAATATTCTTAATGACTGGCATCTTTATGAGAAATGTGAAATCATTTATCCTCAGCAATAACCTGCCGAGGATTAAAAAGTACTTGGTACTTAGAACGGAAGTCATCTGTCAGGAAAAATTATTTAGACGGCTGCAAATGAACTGAATAAATTGGCTTCCTAATTATGGTGTGTATATTCAAGTTTGTTAAAATTGGTTTGAGCTGAAGAATTTGGAGAGGATCTTTCAAGAAGTGGTCTGACATTCTGCTGGAGGAAAAGATAACACGTTCGTTTGATAAACTCCTTTCATATTTCCTAAGGATTTCTGGAAATGATTTAAGAAGCAAGGGCAGGTAAATCAAGAGAAAACGCATTAAGTAAGCGCACGTATGTCTTGCTAATTTGGAACAACGGTAATAATGCCTCATGGAAAACACCAAACAGCGTGTTCATCTTGATGCCCTAGATTCTAAATAACCCATAGTGTTTTCCATGGGGGTTTGTTTCAACCCTCTCAGGGCCGGCTTGGGCATTAACCCAACGGAACACGTCTAAGGCAGCCCTTAATGAACGATGTAGAGACCAGTCTGTATTCTGTAGGAACTGTCCCACTCTTAATGGGTGTGGTGTTGCACACCAGTTAGCAAGTCTTTACTGGAATCTCAGTCTTCTCTGCCTCGCTAGCTTAATAGCAAACCTTCATTTAGCT